ATGGACTCTCATCAATCCTCAACACATCTATCACAAAGTTGTTACCGGTGACAACAGTATTATAGTTGTAGTTGAAACATATCGTTCAATACTTGATGGACTCTCATCAATCCTCAACACATCTATCACAAAGTTGTTACCGGTGACAACAGTATTATAGTTGTAGTTGAAACATATCGTTCAATACTTGATGGACTCTCATCAATCCTCAACACATCTATCACAAAGTTGTTACCGGTGACAACAGTATTACACTTGTAGTTGAAACATATCGTTCAATACTTGATGGACTCTCATCAATCCTCAACACATCTATCACAAAGTTGTTACCGGTGACAACAGTATTATAGTTGTAGTTGAAACATATCGTTCAATACTTGATGGACTCTCCTCAATCCTCAACACATCTATCACAAAGTTGTTACCAGTGACAACAGTATTATAGTTGTAGTTGAGACATATCGTTCAGTACTTGATGGATTCTAATCAATCCTCAACTCTTCTATCACAAAGTTGTTACCGGTGACAACAGTTTTATAGTTGTAGTTGAGACATATCGCTCAGTACTTGTTGGATTCTAATCAACCCTCAACTCGTCTATCACAACGTTGTCACCAGTTACAACAGTATTACACTTGTAGTTGAAACATATCGTTCAATACTTGACGGATTCTCCTCAATCCTCAACACATCTATCACAAAGTTTTTACCAGGGACAACAGTATTATAGTTGTAGTTGAGACATATCGCTCAGTACTTGTTGGATTCTAATCAACCCTCAACTCGTCTATCACAAAGTTGTCACCAGTGACAACAGTATTATAGTTGTAGTTGAAACATATCGTTCAATACTTGTTGGATTCTCCTCAACACATCTATCACAAAGTTGTTACCAGTTACAACAGTATTACACTTATAATTGAAACATGCTGCACTTAAAACCAAGGGTTCATTGTTTAGTCTGAAAAAAAGAGTATCCCTAGAGTTGGCGTGAGTGTTGATCAGCTACCTTCTCTGTAGTCTATCACTTCTAAATTAGGGACAGCTGGTGCCCTCGAGTAGATCTGTGCGAAATCCAACAAACAAATAAAACATCAACCCTCTGATGGAGTCTACATAATGTAACTTCTTTTTAACGTACAGTGACTGTTGCCCTTTATATCTATTACTACTGGGCTCTTAGACGTCTCCACCTAGTGGTAGAACTTACAAATTCCTCCGCATAATTAGGACATATAAACTTGTAGACTAACAAATAATATTTTATTCTTAGGCATCTCCACCTAGTGGTAGAACGTTCTTTTAATAAAACAGTTTCTTCCCATGATGCATTTAATTCTATTTGTGAATAAACTCTACTTTTCACTGAAACTAATTACTAATACACTTTATCCCTTGCTCTATATAAGGTAACACGGTTACTGTTGACTTCTTAACACATCACACTTCAAAATTTTAGGGATCGTCAACGTATTTAACACATCACTGGTATTACTATCGATGAAGTTATTACTACTCATTATCTTTCAAAAATTATGTATTGCGAGTTATTTCATCATATAGCATAAAATAACTGCCTATAACCGTGAGAGCACGATTAATAAACATATTAATTAAATTCTCTTTAAATGATCCAGAAACAAAACTATCAAAGCGAAACTAAAGCCCTGAAAGGGTTGCTTGGACACCAACATATCCATAAATAACAAACTGTAAATGTTATATTTCGATAGTTATTATTAAACAGTTTCAAGACTTCACTTAGCATGAGTTTATGATCAAAAAAATAGTAATCATTTAATCTACATGCTCTTTGTAATACAATGGTTTAAGGTCATCAGGACAGTTACTAGTCATTGGCTTTGACGAAATATCAAAACTAAATTGATCTTAGCAGGTTTGAGTCTCAATTCCACAACTTGATCAAAAATTGTTCCATTAAGGACAAAATTTGATCCTCTAATTGCATATGACAACAGCTAAGATAGTCCATTTGTCATATCTAAGGATGAAGATGTTTTCTCAGAACATATATTATTGTAAGTAATCATTAAAACGCAAAGGTGACACATATACAGGAACCACAGACAATGTTAAATGGTTAGTGTATCTTATCTTTAGTACGATACATTTTTTTACAGAATGTACACAAGAAAAGTGAGTAATTTATACACTGCATTAGCATTTTTTTTTATTTGCTTTAAACAAAGCAACAACATCGTGCTTTTATACTGCCATAAGTTTATCAGTATAT